ATAAACAGTTTTCTACGCAAGGCACTGAATACCCATTGATTGGATGTCATCAAGGACGGCCTACTATCAGAGAGAACATACGAGTTAACAGCTCAAGAGGAAACTACGAAGCGACATAGAAAGTGGGTAGGACATACATTACGAAAATCATCAAACTGTATCACGAAGCTAGCACTAACATGGAATCCTGATCGGAAAAGGAAAAGAGGAGGACCAAAGAACACCTTACGTCGGCAATCAGGACCACACTTCAGAAGGATGAATGGCAAGTGGAAACAGCTGTAAAGGATTGTCCACGATAGAGTTCGATGGAGACTGCTGATGGGTAAGTCTAAAACCCATATGATGGGTCTGATACTACTAGTGTCGACAATAATGTCAGATAAGTCGCCAATTGACAAATAAAATCGTTTTTAAATGTGAAGTGAACTACTGGTAGCTGTAAATAGGAATAATATATGATTATAAGAATCACGCAAATTAATAGTATCCAAAATTTGAAGTTTGATATTAATTGCGGTGAAATGACCAGTGGTTTTACAAACCGACTTGGTGTGTCACATTCTACCACTTTTATGGCATTCAGTGTGACGTATGAGACATGACTAACGTAGATGAAACTTCCTGCATGATATGCATTTACCAAACCTGTTCTCACTTCTGTAACCTGCTTTGCAACAGAATACCACACATGTTACAGCTTGTGCTTTGAAATCGAAGTTTCTCTAGCTGGTATATACCGTAATCTTAGCCATTCCAGATTCTATTACAGCAGCTAGAGATAGGTCAGTTGATCTTTGGCCAAACAACGGTAGCAGAGTACGTGATTATAGTAGTCCTATAACAAAGGAATACAGTTGATGCTTTTGGCGATTCCGGATATTCTGGATTGGCATTAAAAACTGGATATTTTAAGGTGTTGATGGGCAGCGTGAGAGGTCAAATCAGATTCAATTATGTAAACAATCTTTTTAAATACTCAAAACAACGTGGTAACACATTTTAAATGTCGTAATAAATAGAGCTAATCATATGTAAAGTTATACGGTTATCAAATGATCCCTTGCAGATCGCGCATTATTTGGGTTAGAAGCATGAACCACTAGACTTTAACTTAATAGCCAGAGAGTAATGCTATCTCTGAGTTCGTTGAATTTCCTTTTTTCGATTTTCAAGTGCTTTTAGATGGAGATTCTTATATTATAAAAAAACAGTTATTAGTATCTCCGTGGTTTCAAGTAGTTTGTGACTAAAATCATTTGGTTACAACACAACTTTGAGAAAATTAGCTAGTGAACACAGGACACGATTACAAACGGAAAGTAGACAAATCATCGTCAGTTATTAGACGACGTATAATTTCAAAATCTATGTTTAGAGCTAGAATTTATGAAACGTTATCTCTACAGTATCAACTAACACCACTTCAAAATTTTTTGGCGGATTACGTTTAAATAAAGCATCCAGAGTACAGAATTAGCAAAACTGTAATTCACTCACACAGGGGTTTAATGGAAGAATTGAACTCTAGTGCGAAAGTTTCCACAATAAATAGGCGTTACTGGGTGACCAGAGTACTTTAACTCTGTAGTTTGATAATGGTGTAAAGTCAGCAGTTTGGCAATCAGTATTTCGAGAGAACCCATTAAGTAAAGTAAACCAAAAACGACTATGTAATGTTTGGAGGTTCGAATAGGTGCCATGAAGGTGTTGTAAATGTACTTGAACGCAGGTACAGATAATAATGAGGCTGTGAGGTGAAAGATTTAGTGAAAAATAGGCGTCTCATGTGCTCGGTGTAAGGAAAGAACCGCGTCGTTCGAACGAGCTCCTACAACTGGTAATATTCAATAAATTTAAAATGGTCAGCGTAAATGTCTATTGTTTACAAAGTTATATATCGATCAATTACAAGCACTAACACTTTGTTTTTTCCAGGCCCTTAAAGGGGTGAAATATTTGTTTCGCCTATTCATTCTGAGGGTTTGTCTTCCAAAACTAAGACTTTAAGTTAATGGAACTAACATTTTATTACCTCCGGTAGATCATATGGTTCAAATGGTTGTGAAGGGAATTGAAAAAGCTTTGGCTTAATGGGCTTCCGTGTCTAGCAACAGTGGATCACCAATACCTCCATGTAAGAAACTAGGTGGTTTAGCGATATGAGAAGAAAAAAAAATTGGTGAGCCATTGTAGAATACTATCCTTAGTCCTTAAGAATAGGTCAGGCTTCCTCTTAAGGGACTCCTAGGAAGTCGCTTGGACTAGCTCAGTCGGCATCGAATTCCAGCATTTGACAACTCTTAAAAAATAGAAGTTGTACCTACGGTCCGTTCTGCTGTGTAGTGTCTCTAGTTTCTGGGTGTTTCCTCTTAGGTTTGTGTTTGAGCTAAACCCAAGTAGGTGTTTAAGGGGATGTCCAGGAGTATTAAGGATACTGTAAGCCATCAGAAGGTCACCTCTAAGATGCTTGTACCCTGATGGATGAAGGTTTATTGATTGGAGGGGTTCTTCATAAGACTTGAATTTGAGTGTCCGAAATGATTTCGTGACTGAAACCGTGCTGTTGAGGTGAAAATAAGTTTAAGGATATTAAATAGTCGTGTATACTATATTGTGTCAGGAACGCCATAATTTTTGAGGGTACAGGGAAAAATGCTACCGGTCGGTAGCTTGAAGGTTCTCTGCGTCGACCTCCTTTGAAAATTAATGTGTTGTGAGCCAGCTTCCAGTTTTCTAGTAGCGTGCCTCCGCTTAGCGAATGCGGAAACATCGTGATAAGCGGTGTTGCCAATTTTGAGGCTGCTCCCCTTCAACATAGCAAAATGGACTATATTCAAACCGGGAGAAGTGTCTTTTTAAGGTGCTGCAGTTTCCAGTACATCAAGACAGCGCTCAGGTTGACTTCTGAAAGTCTTATGCAGTTTGCAGACTTGGCCTTCATCATTATAGTTAATGTGGATCGATTGAAATGTCCGAGAGTACTGTTCAGACCGTGGGTTAGCGGCGTCACCATCGTTATTAGTCCAGCCATTAGCACTTGGTAGTTGGGAAACTCTAGTTTTGGCCTGTCGAAGAGAGGCTGCATAACGGAATAAGCTTTTCGGATTGGAGACAACTTTTTCCATAAGCTTTACCTGGTACTGAAGCCTGTTTTCTCTTGTTGCCTTTGTATTTATGTTCCTTATTTGTTTGTATTGCCTGTACACGCCGTTATTATCAGTTCGTTTGTATTCCGCACAGTAGTGTCTTTTGCGGCTTAGCAAACGAAGAATACAATTCTTGATGACTATAGGTTGCCTGTAAATTTTGCGAACCAATTGCTGAACAAACTGCATTGTAGCACATAAGATCGTGTGCAGTAAGAAATCCACATCAAGTTGAGGGTGAACTTTCCAGTCCACCTGTTGTAGATACTCCTGTAGAGATGATACATTCAACCGTTTGAAACTCCGGTGCCTGTTGTTGGTGGGATTTCTCAGCTCAGTTTTACTGATTAAACTGAAGGCTATGACGTCGTGGTCGCTTCTCCACAGGGGAGCCAGGACTGAGAGGTTGTCAATTAGGAAATCTTTGTTTGTAAATACCCGGTCTAAGCGTGACGGCGTCTGACTGTTTCTCCAACGAGTTGCCGACTTCACATTTTTGAATAATCCCATATCTCCAATGAGTTTGAAAAACCGAGCTTCAGTAGAGTTTTCAACTCTAATGTACGTGTGTTCCCCGAAATTGATTTTAGGAAGATTGAAGTCCCCTAGAATCCGGATATGAGTGAATCCGAGACGGGTAGAGCGGAATAATCCTCCATACATGCGACTATCGTACTCAATGTCAGGAATGAGCTTTCCTCAGATGACTCCAGCTAGATACCGTGAGGTGGAAGACAATCTTACTGAACACCATAAGGATTCATGAAGGTTGATAAACTCTAGGTTACGCACTTGATATACCTCCAGGTAGGATCGTAAGTATAAGGCTACTCCACTCCCAATTGCTGTTTTTGTCACCACAAAACAAAGTTATCCCGGATATTGCTAGCTCCTAGTCCGTAAACTGAGATATCCAAGTTTTGAAAATTCCTGTCAGATAAGCACTACTGAGTTCATGTAGCTCATCCATTTTATTCGGTAAATTCGTGGAGTTCATGTATAAGCAGTTTTTGCTTTCAATTTGTAACAAATGAGCTTCCCCGTCCTGTCTGTCTGTATGAACCTTATGTGAATGGGAAGGTAGCCCATACAAGGTTTTCCGAGTTGGTAGCTCTTGTCCTTTCCACGTTTTTTATGATCAAGACAATCTATAAGTGGAATGGCCGGCTGCAACTTGCCTTTGTGCTTGAACCTGGCATCGTGTGGCCTATCTAAATGCATATGGATTACAGTTGGCAACCGACGTCTGTTAGCACGGAATGCTTCCAGAGTTACAGCCGCCATATAGGAGGATGTGAAGGTTATCCTCATCAGCCAGGGTCTAGAATCTCCATGCTTCTTGGCCAGTCTCATTACTTGTTGAGTCAGTATGTTTTTAAGCTTCAAAGATTGCCTGATGACTTTTCATTTCCTAAAATCAGAGTTTTCATTGTCAGTGTCCGTGTTTAACGGTACACCTTGCACAGTGATATTTCTTTAGCTACACAATGATCAATCCTAAAGAAGCTAAACCGGAAAGAAAAATGACTGGTAGATTAGGATTTTGAAAAATTATTGTGTAGAGAGGTCAACTAGTATCACTGAAGATACTTGACAGAAAAATTAGTTTGTGATATTGTTTGGGAGGACTAAAAGCTTCTCTCTTAAGCAATTTAATATACCTAAACAACATGGTTCAGTTGTTTGTGAAAAAAACATAAGCAGCCGGAATACCCTATATAAATCATCATCTTAGAAAAAACAATCGTTCAATAAACACTGTCTTTGTTTTTCGAAATCAAATACTGGGGCAGCAAGCTAACTTTTTGAGTTCGGCCATATTTGTAGGCGTATAGTTGTTCTGATTCGAAGATGACAGAACGAGAGGCTCTTGTATATCGTGCTAAATTAGCTGAGCAGTTGGAAAGATATGATGGTAAGCAGTCGGGATGATGTTTTTCAACCTTTATTTTTGGTGTGGTTATTCACTGAGTTTTATTCGTTTGCTAGAGATGGTTGATGCAATGAAGGAAGTTGTAGAGATGGCAGAGGAGTTGACTGTTGAGGAACGTAATCTACTTTCAGTTGCTTACAAAAATGTCATTGGGTCTCGGCGATCATCATGGCGTGTGTTTAGCGCTGTTGAACAGACAGAAGGGAATCGAGGTAATGCTGAAAAGCAAGCTTGTGCCAAGAAATTTCGTGAAGTTTTGGAATCTGAACTCGATCGTGTTTCTAAGGATATATTGGAACTCATTGACAAGTACTTAATCAAAAGCGCAACCAAGTCAGACTCTAAGGTCTTTTATCTTAAAATGTAAATCGCGTGTGTTCGTGATGTTTTTTTCAGGAAAGGCGATTATTTCCGTTACATGGCGGAATTCTCAGTCGACCCACAACGTCAAAAAGCTGCAGAAGAAAGTAATAAGGCCTACAAAGAGGCTTCTGAAATTGCCGCAACCCAATTGTTTCCGACCCATCCAATCAGGTTGGGGTTAGCTCTCAATTACTCAGTTTATTTCTACGAAATTATGAATGATCCAGACGAAGCATGTCGTCTTGCACAAACAGCATTTGACGATGCAATCTCTAGGCTAGAACATTTATCAGAAGAAAGCTACAAAGATTCCACCTTGATAATGCAGCTATTGCGAGATAATTTAACTCTATGGACGTCAGATCCTGAAAGAGATGGTAAGTTAGTTTTCATTCCTCACTAGTATGCTTTGTAGACAACGTGAAGAAAGATACTGAAGAGAAAGCCTAAGAAGTAGACTTAAAGATAGCTGGTGTTTGCTTACTTGGCCAGAGTTGCTTTTAGGGATAATTTATTGAGTCATGAAAGTGCACACCAGTAGTGCAGTTTCTCGTTTTACCACTTTAATCCTTTTTCTCAAATTATTGCCAAGTTCTCTTAATATGCTGGTTCTCATACTGTCATGGTTATATTCATTTAGGTAGTCATTGTTTATCATCTTTAACTATATTATATACTCTAAAACTTGACGTTTTACTAATATCTGTCCTTGATTTGACAGATACTTCATGTTGTTTGAAGCTATTCTTCATACTGAGAATCTGAGCATGTAATACTTTGTTCGGGTTAACATGTAATGCTTTGATCTACAACCTCATAAAGGAGGTTTTGCGCATATTTTATTTCAGTTTGAAAAAATACGAAATCATTTTGCTTTGTATTCCTTTAAAACTGAGTTGACCACTTGGTATATGGATCTGTCAAATATAATCAGTTGTTCATACTTTTGTTGAAAAATTTATGCAAAGTGCTTATGGTCGAGAAACAGACGATTCTGTTTAATATTACCTACAGAATCATGTATGTTCGCCGAGTGTAGTCGATTACTTCATAACTTTGATGTAAGGACATGAAATAAAAGATATTTTAGACGTGCTAAGGTCTAAAACCCACTTGTAATTAAATTTCGTAGGTCCATTTAGCCGATTAGGAATATACATATATTTGGTTATTGCTGAGGGTAATTTCCAGCGATATAAATATACTCTTGTTGGTTAGTATTTCTCTGGGAATATCTTGATGCAGTTACAAGGATCAGATCTCATTATTTTGAAACTCGAGGCTGTGTACTTTCTACGTATCATATTCAAGCCAGTTATTTGTGTTCACGTGTTAAATTTATTGGTAAGAACAAAGTCATGTCACATCTACGGTATGTGACTGATCGATAATTACACCCACTGGTTCAACAGACTTTCGAAATGAAATGTGATCAAGTTGTCTTGTGTAAGTCATTGGGATTAAAGAAATCTAGCGTCGCATTAAGTTCGGTTTCTATAACGATACACAACCCTTAGACTAATTACTAGATATCTGAGGCTTGTAAAGGTAAGCACATCAAAGTAGTGTGGTTGAGACCACGCTGACTTGCAAGTTGTTTACTTGCTAAATCCACCTGTATACAATTTCCGAAAAACGGTCGTCTCTTGTTTTATTTTCTAAACTCAGTTGCAATTAAGATGGCTTACTTCATTTGTATCAGACTTACATGCTTTGTTTCCGAAAACGCTTCAGCAACTACAATTTCACTCCGGATTTCTGGGTTTGATTGGCCCCGTTTGTCGTATTTGTTAGTCCTTGACGGTTGTTATGGTATGTTGACGATTATGTGTGGCGACACCTGGCATATGTTAACTAGGATTTTTTTTCGTCTTACAACCATGCCACATACTGTAATATCTCCTTGGTAATTTGTGCGTATGTTTCACTCCTCAAAATGGACTTGATGTCTTTTTTGGTTGCTCTTAATCGCGTTATTGAACAACCCATAGTGGGACCGCATAATTAATACTACTTAGCTTTTATGGCAACTAATACAGTACTATTGTACACCTAAACAAGCCATTTCCGTAACAAATGTATTGGTTTCTCGATCAATGTCGAGAATTCTGGACATACTAATGAACACGACTTAACATGTATAATCAATTAAAACTGCTGTCACAACAAGACAGAATTGAGTTATTCAAGAAAACATTTCGAACCTTAAATACAACTATGCTCAGGATTCTTGTTGGTCATTGTTCTTGTGGGATGTTGGGGAAGCCGGCTGATCGAAAATCACATGTTTGTGAAGCATTAAGCACTTTTGTAAAATTTCACTTTCTCAGCTATTATGGCACAGTAGGGGGTTTTAATTACGGCTGAGAAACTCTGTTTGGGTTCGACCCGTGCCTGCACACTAAACTTTTGTCCATGAAAACTAAGGGCCGTCAAATTTAGTGACGTCTAAGACTCACAAAACATTTCATGAGAAAAGCTTACTAGTAAAAAGAAAGTGCAAATGTCTGTAATTCACGGTAAGGCCGTGTTGTTAACATGTCATTTTATAGGCTACTTGGTGTTTTTGGCCGTTAAATTGTGTTTCACTTCAGTTCCCAATAGTCTTAACGTCCTGGTTTTACAATGAACAGGCTAGTCACATTTCTCGTCCTGGACTGTGCACTTTTTGTTCGAAATGTAGATTAACTATCATCTCCCTTGCTTATTGGTTACGTTTCATCAGTGAATATACTAATAAAACTTGCGGTGCAGTCAGTCAGCAAGGACGTAGCTATGTTCCTACACCTAGTACATTTTCTGTATTGTAGCAGTGCTTGGTGGGTAACGTATGCTCTGTTAGACGTTGGGATTCTACATCAGGACTCGTTATGACGGTAAACGTGGTACATTTAGTTAAATGTGTTAGTGTGCAACAATTATTAAAGCTTGTAATTAATGGTTCGATCATACGACAAACATTGCAATTCAGTATTAGATGCTACGTACTCTGAATAGATTATAGATGATAAGTCTTGATACAAACTATCTTCTAATTGTTAAACCAATCCGTAAATAAATGCAGTACTGATTATGTAAGTGATTTTCTGGTATCACTTGTGCCTAGTCACAATTTATTACAAAAGTGCATATTGTTTCAGAATACTATAGGCATGAGTACTTCTACAGGCTAAATACTAAAACTACAATATAATAATTGGATGTAAAGACAGTGATCCTTACGATCTCTAAGCCTCTTCCAGACTTGCCAGCTAGCTTATTCTTTCGGGAAACTGAATATAGCCTAAACAACGTTTCATGGATCTACGTAGCATTCTTTGATTGGAACGGGGTTTCTTTTTTAAAAATTCATACAAAATATTGTATTGTGATTAACATCCTCGTTTTGATTTCACAAAGATCCCCACCGCGTCGTAGTGGTGGTTGGAAAGCTGTATGTGTTGGGAGATATTAGTTAACCAGTACATTCCCGTACCATTCCATCTAGTGGGACTCAACTATTTTTCATGAGATACGCTGAAGTTAGTGCCAAAACTGACAAAGAGTTAGCTAACTAGTCAATATGATCTAACTATACACTAACTGATAGAAAACTAATAAGCGTCTCGTTTCATATTGGTATCGTTAGTAGATCGTGTTGAAGTATAGTATACTAGCTAGTTGAATCTCTGATAACCCTGCTGACGTCACAATAATAGACAATCTGATTGTTTGGTAACGGGTGATTGGTTCATAAAGATCGTAATTAATAACTGTGTGTACGATCAGCGACATAATGAGGGGCTTTCAGACAAAATATACTCATCGCTAGTAATAATGTTCAAAGCAGCGTAGAATATAGTTTCGTACTCGTGATCATGTCACCGGATTTACCCTGACGTTGCGAATGGGTGGTTTTTTGATGAAGATATGTTAATTAGTTGACGGGTATGTGGACCTGGCAGACTGCTACGTACCTTAGGATGCACAGGGAATCGTCGTGAAACTGTGGTTCTCATCAGGTTCGTTAGTTCTCTATATTAATTACTGAGTTTCTTCACAAAGCAAGAACAAATAGAACAGCTGTATTGATTTCCCTAGGGTCCTCATTCTCTACTTCAGGAAATCGATCATACCCTCGAAACATGTGAAAACGAACTAAGAGTACAAATGTTAGCCTTAATACTTGTCCGATTGTTCACAAGAGAATGTTGTTAATAACGCTGTCCTAGCATACAGAGGTAGTTTAACGAATAACAACTGTTCCTTAACAAAACGTTTACAGAAATAAGACGATCAGTACTGTAAATTACGTACGGGGATGTGAAATGTAGTACAGTTGAGAGGATCGGTCTTTCTTTCTGGACTCAAACAATGAGCTGTGGTGAAATCATTTAGATGATGTAGGCTGTACTCATATGTAAATGTTTTTAGTTGAAAAGTGATTTCGCGAAAGCACCATTTCGCCTAAGGTTTCCGAAAAAACTTGCTGGTTAAGAACTCTAACGTAAAACAAATTCACTAAACGGTAGTTATTTAATATGGGAAATAGAATGTAAGAAGCTCGAAACCAGGAGAAAACAGTTGACTATCCTCCCTGTTTCTGATATCACGACCATTATTGATTGACCTTAACTGTTCGTGTTCCTGAGCATCCTTAACCTTTATTCAATAGTCTCATTACATAACCACAATTTAAAACCCAACAGTCTATCGTTACAATCCCAAGTTATGTATTAGAATCTTCCTCACATGATATTTAACTAGGTCATTTTATCCAATCCTTCCAACATTATCTACGTCATTGTGACTATCACTACATTATACTGCCATATGTTTGCATTCGTAAGCGGTGTATTTTGTTTCAATGTCTTCATTCATATGATGTAGACTAACTGGTATTTCATTCGTAATTATGTTTAACGAAGGACATTTATCCATACAATCACCATTTTAAATACAGTAAATATGGAATTACTGTTGTCAAGAGTCCCGCTGTTAACGAGTGTTCAGTAGCCAGGACTTATTCACTATACAATATTAGAAGATAGTAACTAAAATGTTATGGTATTTGATGATCTTATATAAGTCGACGACTGGTAAGTAAGCTAGTCGCGTTCAGTGATGAATTTTTGGCCCTGAATAATGATTTTAACAAATAGATATTGATACAAGGAGGCACCAAATATATATGCGCCACACAGATCTCATTTGATATGTGTGAGGGCTGTGATACTGCACGGGTGTCCAAACCGAAGCAGGTGGTTTTCTTAAGGAGCCACACCCAGAACCTTCGACATGAAGGTCTGATCCACAAGGCAGTGGAGCATCGGAAGGAGATGCCGTCCCATGGTAGCCGGTGACCAACGATTGGTTCATACGCCATTTGTTGCTTCAGGATCCTGGAGTCCATGTGCACCATTGGTTTGGAGTCAGGGTTTTCCAACTCCCATAAGTGTACTCTCCATGTCCACCAACCCGGTTAAAACGCCGGACATTCGCTTTTCGTCCTCTCAATTTCGTAAACAACACCCTTGTCACGAGAAGACAGTGAGTAGGACTTCCCTGGTAGAGGCTATATACGCGTGGCTATTTGGGAGCGTTTCAAGAGGGAGAGCGGACTGTTCCCGCTGTCGGGCGTACCAGGGCATTTGGGGGCATGAATATTTTCAAGTATTACGAAATCCTAAAAAGCACACCCCGTTGGTGTTAGTTTAAATATTTCCTACATATTGACAACAAATGTAGCTAATGATTAAAATTGGAAGCTGGTTTGTAAATAGGCTGTTTTATCGGTGATCCCTAGGCTTATATTGATTAGGGCATCTTTCCTCATGGAATAACTAGAGAAGTCTATATGTTGTAAGATCTATGACCACTATTCTTAGCGGTTTTAGCTTACTTGTGATATTCAATCATTTGAGTAGCTTGAATTTAATTTCATCAGTCAATCCATATATTATGAAGAAATAACGAGTTTTAGTAAATAATTAAAAATATAGAATTATGATCGAGTGTGATATGTGGGTGGGTAGTTTATGCATGCTACATTAACGTAATATTTCAGGTTATATTTTTCTTACATGGTATTTGGCTATCGATTGTACATTATCGCTGACTAACAATTCAAGCTCAGCACATTTAGTCACATGTTCAAAACCTAACTTGTTTGAATTAGGCCTGAGGAGCTGGGTGGTATCAGCGTTTCTTAGCATACAAAGGAAACGTGACTTCGAATTGGATACATGAACTTTTAATGATTTAATAAAATGCATTTAATTATTAAACAATACTTTCGTCTGTCTTTATATACTTTTATCCTGGAGTTAGAGTACGCAGCCTGTCGGAATTTAAACGGGGTTCATTTTTAAGAAACATGCCTTATTTCCAATAAAAAACTACAATACAACATTCTAATGTTATCTTCGTGTTCACAAAAAAAATCAATAAGGTATATATAACCGGCATGATTTTCCTCCATCTTTAAGGTGGACATTTAACATATTAAATTGTGTAAAGAAAAAGAAATTACAGTGCTTTTGTTGTGATATTCTACCTGTATCCTCTGTTTATAACCTAGCGAAGGAAATCATAGATCATGGCATTGACACACACATATTTATAAACTGCCATCCAGATTTATATTGCAGTCTTACTTACTATCTTATCCTCTTTTTATAACATACATTTTCTTACCAAGTCGGATGTTTGAGTTCATTCATAGAATTATTTACTTCTTATACGATCCTGTTGAAATAAAAAATCTTCCCTACAATATATTAGATAGCTGGAATCGCATACTAGCAAGGGATATTTACTCCATGGAATTTTACAGTGACGTAATTTATTGCTGTTACTGACCTATAACAGGATAGATTTGATCGTGATTTTACACTAGATTGTTGCGGTATATGCGTTTGAAATCCAATCTCTCTATTACTAATCAATTTTATTATTAAAAATGCAGTGAACAAATAAACTTCTTTAAGCTTAAAACCATTAGAAATAAAAACCTTACAGGAGAACATATGAACCAACTGCAGGTACAACATACAGTGTGTGCAGTGAGTATTTTATTAAAATAATAAATTTAAAGTTAAATGATAAAAATACTACAGAAACAAAATATTGTACATATTGGGTGAAATAAAAAGTTAGGTAGCTAGCCTGTTCAGTGTATAAAAGATAATGCGTATTTAAACTCAACCACCGGTAAGTAGGTAGCAAATGTTATAGATAATTGACGTAAAAGAACAGTCATCAATTAATTTGTAGTATTAAATAACAGATTGGGATGAAGATGATAAGCAAAAATAATAAAAAAATGATTGTGTTAAATAATTGATCACATTACTGTAAAGAAAAATTCACGTCAATAAACATGGAATAAATAATAATTAAACAGAATGTTTTACTACTACTAATAAAAATGTACACAAAAAGAATGTAGGTATATACAATTGATGGTTAAAATATCAGCGAACATTAAGTGTACTGATTATAACCACATTCACTCTCCTTCATTTTTCCTCTTCTTAAGTTTTTAAACATATACTTTGGCCAATGCATCAGATCCAGCACTAGCCATAAAATGTTGTGTTGGATGAAATGCAACTGCATTGATAGCTTCACCGAATTTTTTCCTATGACCTGTAATTTCTTGAATACACAATTTTGTATTGATATCCCATATTCGTATGGAACAGTCATGACCTTGAAAAATGTAATGGAATATTGTAATATATTCTGGTTTATATATTTAAGAAAAATATGATAAGATTAACTTAAGAGAGTTAATTTTTATTAACGAAATCAAATTTGTGTGTAACTAATCATATTTCTAATAAAATCTAGATATGTGATCTTGTATAACTAAAATCTAAATTTTAATGAAACTAAAATTAACTGTAATTTAAAACTAACTATTCAATCAGTTCAACATTGAAACCAGTATCAACATATGAAAAGTTTAACTTGATTGTTTGTTTTTTTCTCTTTACCAACATGTTCATGTAAACATTGTCAGAAATAAGCCATTATTTGACCGTAGGTAGACATAGAAAGAAGTGTACCATATTAACAAATACCATAACATATAGGTGATATACTGAAAACAGTCGTAGAGATATTTCAGTGGAAAACATTAACATTCAAAATTAACAAGAACAGATTTTGAAAACGATGTTATCTTATGAACCTCTTTTCAAATTCGAAAATTAGATCAGTATTTTTGACATTATCGAATGAAATAAAGTGAATTTGCTACTAGGTTCTGAGACGTTTTATCTAGTTGAATAAAAGATACGTATAAGGTTCATAAACACCAAGCCTCCACTTCAAAACTCGTTTCATCTATTTTAGTCTGGACAGACAAATACTTAAAAAATGAGTTACATATTACATATATTTATACTTATTTGTACAAATGTCCTGATTTGATCTTTAAATCAAGTAAAAATAAACCCTTAGAACAGAATTCTTATGTTTTAAAACATTAATTTGACAAAGTCGAAGCAACTGAAGTTCATCCATCGTAGAGTGAAACAAAAAATATATCGTGGGAGACGATTACAGTCAACGTAAACAAGAGACAATTTTGAAATTTGGTCCTGAGAATAACATATGAATTGACAAGATGTGTGCCAACTATCATAAAATAAGGTTACGAAAATTTATGAATAATGATGAAAATGAATTTCATTGTCAATGTTGTGAACATATAGTGTCAATGAAATAAGAAATCAAATGGATATAATAGGAAGCTTTTATCACAAAAGATTAATCAACTGACATTCATTTTATCAGTTAATTAAATAAATATAATAGATAATTACGAGGTTAGCGCTCAAGTTATCAATGAAGTCAATCAAATAGAAACATAGTACAACACTACGAATCATCATTTGACATTTGTTTATAGTTGTAAATAGTATCATATCAAATTAAAAGCATTATTATGTTGAATTCCAGACTGATTAATAAACTAATTAGTGTTCAGAGGAGATATTAAGATCAGTTCAGTTTATTCATGTAAGAATTGATAGGATCGATGCTCAGCAGTTGTTAATGGACACAATTATTATCTTAAATTGAAGTGAAAATTTACTTCACAAATTTCTGTCTAGATAGTAGTATCAATAATATTACTTAGTGTGATATATAAATTATCTATAGTTGGCAACTAAACGAACCTGTATATTGAAGCTTCAAAAAATTTATTTAAAGTATGAGATAGCATTATTTTTCACAAAAACAGATAAACAAAAATGATGAGATTATTCTTACTTGCTGACAGTAATAATGTTCCTTTTGAATTTAAACTGAGTGTTGTGACTGAATCCAAATGAGCAGTCAATGAATGAACACATTTGCCACTTAACGAATCCCAAAATCGAATTTGACGATCATCATGGGCACTGATTATTAATGAGAGATGAGGATGAGAGATGACAGAATTTACAGAGTATACATTTGCGTCCTGAGAAGTATCACTGACATCTGAAATAATAAATAAATGAATACATTATCTACATAATAACAAATATAATGCTTTTCAGTTAAATAGTTGCAATACAGTTAGCAATAAAGTATTGTAGCGTACATAGTTGATCAATTGGTCAGCTGACCTGAAAGCCGTTGAACAGTTACCATTCAAAAGAATTATATCGAGCAAGTTAAATTTATACAGTCTAAATAATAAATTCATCAAATTAAACGCATAAGTCTGACTGGTTATATCCGTAGATAATAATGAACTAAGAAGACGCCGTTAATTTCAAAGATTCGAGAAGAATATCCTGACAGCATTATACATACATTTTCTGTTGTGGCGCATATATATTGGCGCTCTCTTGTACCAATATTCATGTGTTCAAACAAACAATACATTATCTGTAGTCCCATCACCTAAAGTCTCCGATGCTGTTGTCGAGCCATACAATGCTGCACTCTCTGTACATCAACTTGTTGAGAACACTGATGAGACTTTCTGCATCGACAACGAAGCGCTCTATGACATGTTTCAGAACACTCAAGTTAACTAACCCCACTTATGGAGATCTAAATCACTTGGTCAGTGCAACCATGTCTGGAGTGACCACCTGTCTCAGATTCCCTGGACAACTGAATGCTGATTTACGGAAACTGGCAGTGAATATGGTCCCGTTCTCTCGACTGCATTTCTTCATGCCAGGATTCGCTCCACTGACAAGTCGTGGCAGTCAACAGTATCGCTCACTAACTGTGCCTGAACTGACACGACAAATGTTCGATGCAAAAAATATGATGGCTGCCTGTGATCCTTGTCATGGTCGGTCTTTGACAGTGGCGACGGGATTTTGAAAAGATGAAAGCAATAATAATTTGGCGACGGAAATTTTGGAAAAATGGAAACCACAACAATCGCTGACGGAGTCAATTTACAAGTTTCAGTTTCCAACGTAACTGTCTGGTTCCAGTTTTAACTCGGTTGTCAGTTTAACGTACCCCAAATCCTGTTTCCTCAGTTATAAACATACTTCTGCTTTTATTTATCGATTCGCTGTTGCAACAAACGACGTGGTTACTGGTGTATGAACATGACAATTTCAGTCGCAGAAGTAAAATCAATGCTTCATTTTAATGAAGATGTGTCCATTAAATCTCAATTAACGATCATAAGTGCATTGAAGGAACACATCCTCGAACAATCAAATCCCGAATCGCACTCAAAGATAATAGACATATCTAACAAGGTAATTAAGGAAGAGGTGGATGAAGCTGAAAAACCCACTGGAACACGACCACGTGGTTGACCAAGATCCAAGCAAGTACGATAAAGAAGAACAATCTTTTCAAATAGACTCTCCACAGAAAACGTATTCATTAAAAAAGAAGGGAAATTGATATGATGAGAAGAAAAGTCAAAAGTCGACTGATTTACTAATTATGAGTTATGTCCAACATTACTTCCGTTCTGATCCAATGTGATGATCATTCAGTGTAGTATTCGGTTTCGTTTTCTCGTATGATATTTTATCCTGTATAATATACGATCTTCTTGTATTCAATTGACATGAACTATGCTCATTATGTGATTTGTTATATATGTGATTTCATCCTAATTATTAATCAAAATGGGTGTACAATCAATACATAAATGAGTGTATTTTCGACTAGGGTCGTCGTTGTCGTGTTTTGGGGTTAATAAACCTTTACTTATACCAGTATTTGTGTTCTTACTTTCGCGTCGTGGGAATTGTAGAGGTCCCTTGTTTCGAGTATAAGTGATAAGCGTTTCCGACACAACAATTAATAACGACCAGATATAACAAAGTAGAATTCAAACAACAATTAGTAATCTCAATTTATTTTTACATTATCTTACATTCATATCATGAATGTACAAATATACTGTGTAATTACAAACGGTCAATAAGTGTTAGTGATAAACAACACAAATCATAATCGAATAAGTAGTGAAGAATACACTAATGTCGATATAAATCAAAGAAAGAACACTAGTGCTACAAGGTACATCAGCAAAATAATTGGAAAATAAAGATCGTTTTCAAACAAATTACAATTGCTAGTTAACAATTTAAGCTGAAAAATACTAATTATTATTATTACTACTAACAATCTAAACATCATACCCAATGAACAAGCTAGTGACTATCTGGATTGAGTAGTTTAGTAGGTAACGCGTTATCATTAAAATGAAGGATCCTAGGTTTATGTCTTAATGTGAATAACGACACCGCGATTTAAGTACATTTCGTAATTAAATCTTAAATAGGACGAAATGTGCATCTTAGATCCTACTGTTAGCCACAGTTCATGTATACTAAAAACACAGCTCCTTTGTACATTTACTTCAATACATGGCTTTGATGATTATATTAACCAGACTTTTATTATTGTATAACTGCATATATATATATATATATATATATATATATATATATATATATATATATATAGAATCGGGACAGAATTTCACGATATACTACTCAGTAAATAGTTACGAACTGAATTATCATGAGCCATGCATAATCTGGTAGTAAGGTTTGATAGTTTGTGGAACTATGAACAGATTTCCTGACCAGTTTTGTATTTTTTAAGACAAAATTGATATGGATTCAGTGCCAATTGAAATCTCACAAAGAACAAGTTATAAAGATATCACAGGATGGGTTTCAATAATATAAAAAATGTTTGCAAGAGGAAAACCTAACATTACGTGTAGTCGAGAATTACTTATTGGCCATATTGGTGTTTTAATAGAAAGTTATAGCATAGTCTTTACTCACTTTGATTCTAACCCAAGTGTGACAGCTATTTGATGTTCTGAGTCACAGTCGGTTAGACCTGGAATATGGGGCATCGATTCATCAGTAAATACTAGTTAAAATCTTTTTTTGTACATATGAGTCGTGGTTAGCGAAGACCCTTTGGATGAGTTAATATTGATTTGGATTTTAGTTTAGTGGTTGAAGCAAAAGGTATTCAGTTTTAATGTGATCATCAAACAGGGAGTAGATACATTTAACTGAAAAATCCTAAATAAGACGGAACGAACATTTTAAATTTCACTGTTAGTCACAATCCAAATACATTAAAAGGCTACTATATCGAGACAATTCATTCAAGATCCAAGTATGATAACAAATTGGTTGAATCTCAGTCCTGAATATCAATATCTAAAAGAACAGCTTGAAATTTTGTAAACTCATGAAATGAGGAAAACCTATATTGGAAATTAAACCAAATATTCATATATAAAATAAGAATTCTAGACCATGCTTTTTTAAACTATCTTAAACTACTAACCTGTTTTATTAATGTGAAAATTTCTAACAATTTGATGTGTCTCCAAATTGAATAAACATACATGACCTGAATTGAAGCCAGCAGCGAATTGTGCTAGGTTAGTACATAAAAATGTAGCTGAAGTGGGAACTGAATATTGTTGAGATATGTTCTCACACTTATTAAGCATGTTACTAATATAATATACGTCAGAACTGACAAATGAATTTTGACGTAAATGCCATAGACGAGAAGTACCATCAGAGGAAGCTGAAAGCAGTAAGCCGTCGTACTGTAATATATATATAGGTAGAGAGAGAGAACAGTTTATAATAATTTAATTTCTGAGTATTAAATGAAACAGCTTATTTTACGGACTATACAAATATCGCCGGAGTATTATGACATTTTACTTAAATTACATTAGATGTATCTATCAATGTTTTACTTCGACCAATCAGTTTCAGACAGTAATCTTAGTAGTATGCTTTCAACAACCAATTGAGTTTTCATGAATGTTCATTATACAAAGATTGTTTTATGCGTCATAGGTAAACGGCACGCTAATTCCAAACATTTACTTATGCTAATACTTGAATCCAAATAAATTCGTGAAAAACCACCTTATATATATTTACAGCTATTTGTAAATAAACAATGATTACTAAGTTGTTATTATTGCTTTTTCAATAAAATCTATGAATTTTCATATCCAGCTGGTTGGAAATTCATCCTTTAAATCAAGCTCTTTCATATTTGTACATTGACATTGAAATAGTAACGCTTTTAACATTTTACCATGGCTACCGCTAAAGCGATCACTGAATCTCCTAATTTTTGTGAATTATGCTGTTTTACTAGGAACGGTAACAGTGAGTACTTTTTTTTCTAATTCAATATTTTATATGACCTTCGTCCTTTTCTGATTGATTATCACTACCAATAGTTCGCTAGTTTCCCGAGCGCTTAGAGGTCACGCTTTCGTTACTATATATACTGAGTTCTAGTATTTTAGGTTATTTTGTTTGAATATGGATTTTTCCTACACCTCGTCCTCTTCCTCTGTTAACAGTTAATTGTTGAGACTTTGTATATCAATTGCCGCTAACAAGGCCGAGATACAACCACAAGTATTAGGATAGTTTAATCGTTCCCTCATTTGTAAGTATCGTAGGCCAACTGGAAACTTCAAATGCATAGTTGTGTTTATCAGGATTTACTAGTTAACTACCTTAGTAACAAATCGAGAAATTTGAAGTTAAACTAATTCATTATCTATAGTGAAAGACTGATAATTATGTAACAAGTGAACAAGAAAAAAGGGATTATTTTGCACAAGTAACATTTACACTAACAAATGTACCAAAAAATAAATAAACAAAATATACTTACACGTGAACATAATGACCAAACCGCGTCAGTATGACCTTCAAAGATGGGACCCATCATTGTTGTATCGAAAGTATCATAAGGATCTAATTGTAGATTGGATACACACCAACTACGTATGCGACCTGACAAGTCCCCAGAATATATATAGATCGGTGAAATCATCAGTCCTGATTGACATGAATTATCTACTTTCAATAGACTAGGAACCATTGCCACCGATAAAACTGGTGAATTATGCCCACGAAATGTATATATCTGTTATCCGAAGGAAGAAAAAGAAACCAGTAGTAAAGTGTATATGCAATGTCGGAATATTGTTAAGACGATATGAATAACGCTTAACGATGGGAACATATTAAATAACTTGCATTATAAGAGGTCAACTTTAAAACTAATTGGAGTGTGCTATTAGTGAAATCTTAATAGAAAAGGTGATGCGAGACATATGTTTCAAGAACTAGGTACATCCCAATACAATGTTTCATGTTTCAACAATTAAACCATGATTATTTAAAAACACGCAACAGGAAATTTATATGTTTTAGTAATTTGACACAGTTCTTCAAGTTGTGTATAAATACAAAATAGTGAAAAAAAACGAAAGATGCTAATCAATAAACGTATCATATGTATGTGCACTCTATTCAGTATTTCAAAGCCGTTGATAGAGAAATGTAAAATAGTTAACAAATACATAGTGTGTTCATTGATTAGAGTTAACACGCATACATGTAGTTAGTTCTACAGGAAAACAAACACCTATTAGGTTAAACACACTTGTCAATAATATTAATGATAATATTATCTAGAACGAGTGGTGAATGAATTATTTCACTTAATACATATTAGTTGTTTAAATAAAACCAGTTATTTAAAATTAATGTAAATAATAAAAATGTTAAATAGATGAATCGATAACATATACGTTTAAGCAGACTGTGGTTTGTGAAGATCTGTTTACTATGAAAATAGGATTTAGTCGAAATGTGAATAATGGAATGTTTGTCGCAAGAACTGAATGCCCAGTGACTTGAATCTGTGTGCACTTATGGGTGAATATACTACTCCCGGTGCCGAGGTTAAAATGGGTTGAATTAGCTGTCTGGTGATAGTCAACTTTCTTCTCCAGCTATAGAATCAGTTTGAAATGAAAAAAATAACTTTCAGAAAATACATTGGTTGTAAAATCAGCACACGAGAAAGTGCATTGAGTAAGCCTATACTATTATAAGTATATACGGTACGTAGATGATAAATTTGTTATCCTGAAAGGAGACTAGCTCAAAAGTACTCATAAATTGACTAATGACAATCTTTGGCGACACCAAATTTACAAAGCAAGAAGATTCAGAAAACGAAATCTCAATCTTGAATGTTCTACTGCGTAGAACAAAGCCGAAATGCATTCCAGTACTCTCATAGAGCAAAAAAATTGGAGCTCATCTTCTGTAAAAATAACAACCCTGGCATATCAACCGATCATCGGAGAAGGAGATGAACAGTCCTATCACATGTGAAAATCAACTCAGAAACTGCTATGAAGATTTTAAAACCTTTTGAAATCAATGTCGCTTACAGACCAACACAATTGCTTCGCCGTATTTTATCCAAACCAAATAACGCTACGAAAAGAAGGCATGTATAACACAGCATACATATATTTTATTGTTAATCAGTGTATGCGAACAGTTGGGAACATGAATTCTACTCCGAAAATGTCCGAATTCGGGGTCAGGGAAACTTTAGGGATACTAGAGAACTTCTGGAAGTTTGATATTCATATCGATCAGTGATTATTAAATACTTCGCTTTAGAACCCATTTATTAAACGGATTTGGAAAATGTCTATCAACAAAATGGTCAGATTTCAATGGAACAAGACAGTTAACTTAAATTCAAGAACGAAGGAAGGCAGGAATGCCTACGACGACAATCAATAACAAATAAAGTCGCCAGAATAAACTAGTTTAAGGCTCGTGGAATAAGTAAGAGGCTCAATTTTAAATGAAATAAGCATTGGTAATACTATCTACAACAACAATGAAATCTCTGCAATCCAAAGATTTGGTTCGGAGAACTCAATAACATCAATATATAGTAATAGTGGTTTTATTCAATATGACAATATGGAATCCTTAGCATATAAACTTTAAAGGGACGGGAGTGAGACCTTTCCATTGACAAAAATACACGTCCGGGCTCACTTGATTAGAGTTCGTTGAGAGCTTTAGCCCACCGAGGTGAGGCTCCACTCGGGGTCGAAGCATTCCCCGTACTAAAACAGACCAAAGTGATACTGTTTCTTGTAATTATATTCACTTACTATAAATTATATGAAACAGTGATTAATGATGATGGTAAGATACTAAGAATAGTGAAAAGTACACTTCTGAGAAGTCTCATGCTAGGACGAAGCAGTTGTAGAGGACCTCTTGCTTTTTAATGATGGTCTACCTAAGAACAGTTCTTGATTTGAACTATGACAATCCTACAATCTCCTGTTCTAATGATAATTATGTGTTCGATAGTGACTAGCTTCAAGATGCAGTTATTGGAAATCTGATGACAAACGATGACTAGTTGAGTCCAACCAGATCGGAAGTGAGACGGTTATCCACCACAAGAAATGGAAAATGGTTGCACAACATTGCGAATTCATTGAAGTAAGATATGTACACTATTGAGTTCCGACTTAGTGGCCTAAAGGTTGTGTTTGCTCCCAAGACCGAAGGTTCCCATGTGACGGGATGGGAAACAGGCACTACCGAGAAGTCCCTTACTGAGACAAAACAGCTATCCATCGATTCCTGGTTTCCAATCGTGGTCCAACTAAATTATCTCATGATTTAAACTATGACCATAAAATGCATAAAATATCCTCTGATTTACGACATTTATTAGTAAAATTATTCATCGTCTAACATATACTAGTGTTTATAAAAATAAATAATTGACCTATGATATTTAAAATAATATATGAACTTTATAATTATACTTACCGGTTCAACATCAAACATTGAAGATTTCTTCGTTTGAATAGTCTTATTCAAATTCCATAATTTTAAAGTATGATCTTCACTGCATGTAACTAAAACTGATTCACTAGGATGAAAACAAATATCACGAATAGCATCAAAATGACTACGTAGTGTATATTTTGCTGTCCATGTTGTAGGATTTTGTGTTGGTGTGGATTGATTAATTTTCTCATTTAATGATCTATTAATAAGACATTCACTCATTCCATCCAAATTATCCATTGCTAAAGCAACTGCATGTGCTTGTTTAGAATTGAATTCACTTTTTGACATTGTAGAAAGATTTGCTAAATCTTCTAGTCTTAAAGTTGATTCATTTGTTGAATTTAATTGATTTGATAGTATATTTGTAGTGGTAGTGGTTGTAGCAGTAGTATTAATAGTAGTAATACTAGAATTGTGTAAAATTTCATTTTTTGGTACATTTCGTTGTTGGTGACGGTGTTGATGTTTTTGATTGATTAACATATCAAAGTTCGGTAGTATATTATCCAATTCATCTTCAACTGCATCGAAATTTATCGGTTGGTCACTATTATCATTACTACTATAACTAGATTGTTGAACATTTAGATCATTAGGTAATGAAGTGATTTTCAACTTATCATCTATATTTAAGTCTTCTTTTAATTTTACATTAGAAATAAGAGGAAAATGAAGAGACAGATGTGAAGATTTGACTAGAAAAAGTTGGAGAGTATTGAAAAGCGAAAAAAGACAAGTTTATCATGTTGATCATTAAAAAGAAAACAATATAGTGTATATATATCATGCTATATACTGTTGTATATATATAGTATTTATTTAGAAGGGTTTTGTTGGAGACTGATTGAATTTTTAATCTGTATTAGTCACAGAATAATTTTAGGTAGGGTACCATTGCAAAATTAAACAACATTAGACAGTTATTTTGTCTTAGTATAGAACTGTTTAACAATGTGTACCAACGAACCCATGAAGTCCAAGTCTCGTGGAGAACACGATCATTTGAGCTCATTCTTAAAATTGATTAATATTTACTGTCTTTGCTTAACAATTATTCTCACACAGCAAATTAAGCTAATCCCGAAATTATTTTTGCAATAAAAGTGAAATTGTTTATTTAAGTTCTGCAACGATGTAACGACATTTCATCAACCAAATACAAAAAAGCCGGAAACATATTTTACCATAATATACTAAACATTGAAGAACATTTAAATAGATGTTAGTTTTTAATCTTGGTAAAACAGATAGTATTTATTAGAACTACATTCAACAATTGTTTGTCGTCTGAGCAAATACCATAACTAAATAATTTATACACTTATTTTTACATAATAAATACCTTAGTTTTAAATAGAAATAGGATTTAAACATACATATTTATCACAGAATAAAATCGAATAACATGATTTTCTAATAAAAAGCAATGGTTCGAATTCTTGAAGATGCTTACACAATTGTAATCAGCTAAATTTGAATTTTAACAGCATTACACATCAAGCAATAATGAATTAGTTTTAATTAGTGAAAAGCATTTTCATGTATTTGATGAAAATAGTTTAATGAAGACAACCTATTATGCTAAGAACAAAAACTATTCTCACCTTCACTACGTGAATTTTTTCTGTTTAGTAGGAATTAAACAGTTATCATTTTCCATAGTTTACAACATGCATTATTCTTAGTTGGCTAACTATTGAAAACCAGGATACACTGGACAGCTGTTTCGTCCTACTGTAGGACTCATTAGTAGTATTTATCCAGGGCCTTTGGTCTCACGAGTGAACACTTAACCTCTACATCATTGAGCTAGTGCCCAATCGTATACATGCCTAACTTTGATCAATTCATAATGTTGCGCGGCCTTCTTCCAATGTCATCGGTGGATAACGGCTTAACATCTGATAAGATTGGACTCCGCTGGTCAGAGAGTTCATTGTTTACCGATTTATCTACTACAGATACAACAAATATACAATGTGATCAATGACATTATAATATATTTATACTAAAATATATTTTCTTTACTCCTTTTCCCAGTAAAAAAATTATTCCAATTTTTCCATATTCTTATTTATATACTAATTAAATATTACTAAATAAGAACTTATCCCGACTGATAATTTCGGACAACAAAATTTCGAGATAGCATTTTCAAAAACAAACAAACTGCGAATTACTTTATATGAACAAAACGTCTTAGGTTAGACGAGCTAAGTAAAACATTATTAATAAAACTGATGAAAATATTTGGGAAAAAACTGTAATCCATGTAAATAATATAACAGAATGGAAGGTTTATTCATATTTACGTTTTCATGTTCATGATATTTGAAACAGGTTTTCGATCAATCTCTTTTGACACATTTACATACTCAGTAGATGCCTTTTTAGCTACAAATTTTCGTGTATTAGGACTGTAATTAGCAGTGGATCTGAGTGTCAATGAGAGGATCAACAAGAACTCATCCTGTTGATTGGTTTCAAATAGGACGATATACTCCTTCTGGATTATACGGATAGTTAGAATGTCTATAAAGTTCGTGGTTAATATTCCCACGACAGCATATAACACAGAAATGGAAACGAAATAACTGATTAACCAATCTTGCTGAATGGATAGAAAAAAATCAGAAAAGATGATTAATGCAGAATGATAGTGATCAAGCTTACCATGTGAACGGTCTGCCCGATACTGTTCTTTGAAACGTTGTAACAGTTCGTGTTCATTTAAATTATCCCAATCCTTGTTTTTTACATGTTCTAGTAGGACAGAACAGTGATAACAATAAATATTGTGAGGAACTACTCAAATATATTAGAGATAATATTTAGTCTAAGAATAAAACATCTTAATAGTTCACTTACCATCAAACTGATAAAAGATAATCGATCGTTTTATAACTGATGTATCACTGCACTAAGTGAATATTACATAAAAGGAAAGTACGCTGTTTCGTTGTATACTCATATTCGAGGTGATGACTTTAGCGAGGGTTGATTTAACCTATTACGCTTATTGTTTATATTCTAAAGTTGAACCTACTGGAAACATCTAATATTTTTGCATTTTGGGTAATGAATACATACAACAAGATATTAACAGAGAGGTCCATAAATCAATTTTAACTCTTATTATCAATACAAGACACTAAGTGTGAATACCATATATATATATATATATATATATATATATATATATATATATATATATATATATATATATATATATATATATGTCACAAGTGTTATACGAAGATGCTATCCAGTTGTTTTAATCGAAATTCTAAACTGAGAGCGAATGTCTTTAAAGCAAAAATATATAGTACATATCCATAGATTCAATGACATTTGTAAAAGTAATTTATTTAAGTGGATAAGCTAATTATTGATTCAGTGTACAATGCATAAACTGGGGGATTAACCCAATAGCTATTTTGAATATTTGGAAATTTCCAACTATCTCAGACAAACGAATAGAAAATATTTAAATAACAGAAAATAGACCTTAGTATTACGTGATTATCATGACATGATTATGGAAATTGAATTGTCTTAGAAATATTCCCGTTGTGTGAGCGCGTGTGACGTCTGTAATCATTTTCGATCACACCATATAGATTTTGCTGCGGCATTAATGACAAATAATTAGATGCAGACTGGTAAAATGTTGAACATCTTCCAGTAAACAATTAATTATGTCTTAAATAACACAATTTTGTTGTTCTTAAGACTTCAGTCAACAATACATAGTTTCAACACAATTCAAATTGAAAGTTACCGATTTTCCTAAAGCTAAATTTTGATTTGACGTTTTTATACTGACAAGGGTCAACAAACATCTTGCTACAATTTTCAGAATTAATATATAACTATATTCTGGTCTATTCAATATTCCAAAAAAAGACTAAGTTATTTTAAGATGACCTGACAATTGTTACCGATTGACTATTTGATGAATAGTCAGTACATCAGATCCATGCCTCTGATACCTACTGTAATCCTGTTTACTTGCCTGATAGTGACTAATTATACTCAGAGATTACGGTAACAATTCAATACTACTGGCTACCTGAACGGTATTCACATCAATTAAATAAGTTTGTAATTTTAATGTTTTATCAATTTGTAATTGTAATATTAACATTATCGATATTTATCAACGCGCGAATTATGTATATTATTTTTTTTTAAAATCCTGCAGACATTTTTCCACATGAAAACTAACTATGATTCTCTTGTTCTGATAAGCGAGATAATGAAAAACACAAGAGGCAAATGGCAAGGTTGCATAACATTAAAACAAGGGAAAATATCTGCAGAAACCTTCATAAAGACCTATCGATCTATTCAAAAATTGGGTCGATAATGCTAGCATAAGCAGACTGATTGGCTGTTGGTAGATAGACAGACATACGACTAGGAATTAAAGACAAGTATAAAGGATGATTTAAATTCGAAAAAACAGCTGATTAGTTATACTAGAAACAGAAAATTAGAGTGGGCTGTTTGTCTTGCTTATCCGTAGGAGGTTGTACAACTATATCCCAAACAATAATGTCTCTCCACGATAACATCAACATAAACTTTTGCTTTGGCAAATAGATATCAACAATATCTGTCAATAAGCTTTAAAAGTGTGTGTGTGTGTGGGGGGGGGAAGACTTACAACCCGTTTAAAATGACGTTCACTTCCCGATCCTGCGAACGTGTAATAATAATTCACTAAACTGACGTCATTTAACAACTGACAAGAAAATGATATGAACTTTAATACAATACGCTAGACAACATCAAGAAAATTATTTATTTACTTGAACACATAAATACAAGAGAGCGCCAATATATGCGCCACACAAAACAATGAGAATTTAAAGAGAAGGAAAAAGAACGAAGGTAAGGAGCGTAAAAAAAAGAGAACAATAACGAAGAGATTGGTGCAAGGTAGTGTAATAATAATAATGGTAATAATGGGGGAATGGAAAAGTACAATCGGAAGAAATCTTTCAGTTAAGGAAGATACAACCACTTTTTATGAAGAAAGTAAAAGAAGGTTACAGCAGGATCGCCACTGGTTTCTGTTCTGAGCCATATCTGATAACGTCTTTAGCCACTGTGTAGCACCATCTCTCGGACCCCAACCAGAAAGTCGTGAAGGACCAACAGAAGCCAGTCCTTTGCAGCTTTCTTTTATGCCACGACACCATGTCATATACTGACCACCTCTCCGCTCTTTCCAACCAGTCCCAGCGTCGCCAAATAATGCATGACGTGGAATTCTCTGGGACGACATTCGTTGTACATGTCCAAGCCACCGAAGTCGGTGTTTCAAGATGGTGACACTGATTGCCTTATCATCTCTGTGCCCGAACACACGATGCCGAACCTCTGCATTACTGACATGGTGTTGCCACTGGATGTCAGCAATCCTTCGGAGACAACGATGATCGAACACAGAGAGTCGTCTAACGTCCTCAACTCGGAGAGGCCAGGTTTCACAAGCATAGAGCAAAACTGCTCTCACCGACGCGTTGTAGATCCGACCTTTTACAGCCAGACTAACATCACGAAGGCGCCAAAGGTGGCCCAAATTGGCATAAGCCGCTCTGGCTTTCACTATACGTGCATTGATCTCATCACTCACACCCCCACCAGCACTTATGCAGCTACCCAGATACACGAACTTCTCGACTACTTCTATCTGCTCACCATCCGGAGTGAGTACAGGATTAGAATCCTGCCAGTCTTGTAGAAGTACTTTGCACCTCGAAGGTGCAAAGCACATACCATACCTACGGACACTGATTGCCAACTGATTAACTGCGGACTGCATGCCTTGGGCATTATCGCACAGTAAGACAATATCATCCGCATACTCAAGATCGAAAAGTCTCTCTCCATGCGGCAGACCCACACCGCCATTACTTACATCCATCAGAGCTGTTTCCAGAATGTCATCGATGGAAAAGTTGAAGAGGAATGGTGAGATCGGGCAACCCTGCCTAATCCCACTGCTCGAATGGAACAATGGAGAGAGGTGGTTGTATGCCCTCACTCTGCCTGAGGTGTTTGTATATAGGGCTTTTAGGATGTTAATAAACTTCTCAGACACACCCTTCTTCAATAGACAATCCCAGAGAACAGTCCCATCCAACGAATCGAAGGCAGCCCTGATGTCAAGAAACACTACGATTGTTGGCCTTTGATAAGTATGGCGGTGTTCTAACATTTGGCGGAGGATGAAGATATGATCAATACATCCTCGACCAGAACGAAAACCGGCCCACTCCTTGCGAGTCAATCTTTCTCGGATTTTGAACAACCTACGAAGTATGACGGAAGCCAATAGCTTGGACACAATCGGAAGTAGACTTATCCCCCAATAGTTGCTGCAGAAACGACGTGAACCCTTTTTAAAGATAGGGACAACTATCGACTCATTCCATGACGTTGGTACACTCTCTAGCTCCTAGACCTTTGTAAACAACACAGTCAGTCCCTTAGTCAGAAAGTCACCACCATCTTTAAAAAGAGTCGGAGGTAAGTCATCTGGGCCAGGTGATTTGTAGCGCTTCAAGAGTTGGAGTTCCTTGCGGACTTCTGTCTCATTTGGTGGATCAGTCGTCACCGGGCATGGAGGGCAGGACAGTCTGACCGATGTTGCCGGAGCAGCAGGCCAGTTGAACTGCCCTTCGTCCAAGACGTCGATGGATGTTAGTGATTGGCATCCCATCATCCTCGTAAATTGTTTCGCTCACACCAGACTTCTTGCTGCCAGTGGCTCGGATGAGTTGGAAGAGCTTCCGGTAGTTACCAGATGCAGCTGCTACTTCCAGCTCATTAGCACGCTCCGACCACCAGGCTTCTCGGTCCTTACGCAAGCTTTGCCCAATTTCATTACGTAACATCCTTCGTCAGTGGTCAAACTCACGGTCACCCGGAGTAGACCGACGGGCTTCAATTCAATTGCAACCAATGCTCATCTATACTTTTCGGTGGAATGGTAGCTAGCCTAGAAACTAGCTCGATTCGATACTTACTTGCAACAGAAAGTGCAACCAACTTGCTAACATCAATCCGTTGGTGGAGGTCACTTCGTTGGCCACTGAAAAGTAAGGTGAGATTGGCGCAGACCAAGGCATGGTCAGAGTCCAGATAGGTACTCCAAAAAGAGCGGCATCCTTGTACACAACCAGGTCAGCGGTAGCTGATCGCGATGTGATCAATCTGAGTCCAGGCTTGAGATGCAGAGGGAGGACGCCAGGTGGCACATCGGCGATGACTGTGCCGAAAGTTAGTGCTAGCCATAAACAGGTTGTAGTCTGTGTACAGTTGCAGTAGACGGTCCCCGTTATCTGACCTGCGACCAAGTCCCCATCGGCTACCTGAACGACTCTCTTCTGTGCCTAGACGCCCGACCTGAGCATTCAAGTCTCCGGCTAGTACTACAATATCTGTCGAACGCACTTTCTGGAGAACAGATAACTGGTGGTAAAACCCATTCTTGATTGCATCCGGGCTGCAATCTGTCGGGGCATAGGCGGAGATGACGAAAAGACAACGTTTCTCACGCCTATTTCTTCTCACTTTGATGGAACTTTCTAATCTAACAGCACATAACCGACTGTTAATGGGGATCCAATCGACTAGTGCTGCCTCAGCTCTAGCGCTTAGTGCGACACTAACGCCAGCAAGACCAGACGAAGATGCCACAGGGTCCCCGGATAAGCGCACGTAAAACAAGCTTTTTGAAGCGACAGATGGAGATCGAATTTGTAGTACTTCGCCAGTCTTGAATACGGGTCTCGAATAGACAACAAACATCAATATTAAGACTTTCCAAAGACATAACCAGCCCTATATGTTGTCCGACCTGCATAAATGTGCGAACGTTGAAGGCAGCCAGTTTGAATGGTGCACGTGGTTTCAGAAAAACTGCTTCAGTCCTCGTATTCGGTGATAACATACAATTTTCAACCGGACAGTGACTCGAGAACGTTTAGATAGAGTCGACTTCCCACCAAAGACGAGCTGCTGTATAAGTTGAAAAAATAAGTATAGACACAGTAGGAATAAGAGGGCGAATAATGACGTAGTAACAATAATAATAATAGTGATTATAATAATAATTTGAATCATTTGATTGTTAGTTGAAGCAAGAAGTAGTTTCCATAATTATAGGCAGTTCATCATTTGTGTTAGCTGTGATACTGCCCGGGTCAGTCAGTCAGTCAGTCAGCTACAACGTAGAACCAGGCACATATGTGCATCGGTCCAGGTTGCCATACCTCATTAGCACAACAAGATGAACACCGGATTCATAGGAGTGGTTAGGTCAAAGGTTGCAATAAGGATATGGTATAGGAAGGAAGAATTAGTTAGTAGAAAGAAAGATATAAAGTCATTTTAATCTCTTAGTTTAAGAGAAGACAGGGAGTGTATACACCTACCTCTAACAGCACCCAAGACCACTGTATTCAAATAGACTGCCCGGGTGCCCAGACCGAAGCAGGTGGTTATCTTAGGGAGGCCACACCCCGAGCCTTTGACCTAAAGGTCTAACCCACAAGGCAGTGGAGCATCGTAAGGAGATGCAGTTCCATGGTAGCCGGTGACCGAAAATTGGTTCATACGCCATTTGTTCCCGCAGGATACATCAAGAAGATATTTTGTCTAGAATATGTTATTCCGTATGATTAGCTTGAAGGTAGTGCTATAAAAACTAAAATAACGAGTCAGGGACTAATATTTCCTGTACTTTACTGTACGATCTCTTTCAGGACTGAATAGCGGAGTTTCAAATCTTGAGAATTTATTATTCTTGGCCTATCAGATTGAAGCCATAGACGTTGTTGCTCATTTTCTTGTCAAAAAAGATTATGATACCGAGTGTTTTAAACCCCTTTTTTAACTATTAAATACAATTATAGCATTGATGTCAATAGCCAACAAAATCGACTAGGATATATGGATTTTTTACGTCGAAGAATCAGAACTTCTTGAATGTTGTAGCGAAACCATGGAAGTACGTCACAAAGATACGATGACAATAGAACAAACAACTTGGAATTATTTGGTGTTTCTAATAAAGTGGAAATCCTCTTTAAGATACTTAAAAGTCATACTAAACAGAAGAATGTTCCGTTTTAATTCGTTGATCACATACTGAGAGTAGACGCAGGTTACTGAATTAAGATGGAGAGCCGGTTAATAATATTTTGAATTGTCATTGACTGAAGTAACTGGAAATATGTAACGTATTCCCAACCACCATCCAGCTTAACGCGGTATATTAGCTGGTTTAAGAGTAGACTGGAAGAGAGCTAGCGATAGCCAAAACAAGACGTCGCATCAGTACATGAAATCACTAACTGTTGGCCTGAACCTTGTTGGTATATTCAAACTACTGGATTTTAAATAGCGTAATAATAGTAGCTAGTACTTGATGTTGAATCATATGACTTTCAGGCAATCGAAGTTATGTAGATACATTCATTCTTTATCGTCGCTTAGATGCTGAATTTATAATATTATTCTATAGTTTGTGACCTACAAATTTATTCACACTTTCGGAGTTATTCTTTATTTTTTGTTATCATTAATATCATTGATTTCACTGGCAGTCCGACTCCTTTGCTACTCATCTTATTAATTTCATAACGCTGAGTTAGTGTAGTGCGGCATCTTAAATCTATTCACACTCGTGTCCAATTCTATGTTGCTTAAGTTTGACCAATTGGTCAGCCTACGTTTCTATACCGATACACAGTTTAAACAATTAATACTAAATTATCAACTTGATGATCGTGAGTTACGTAATGACACAAATTGTGCTTGTCCTTCACAAAAGTAACAAGAAATAAAAATTTTATCAACAGTCAAATGTTACTGTTAATTACACAAGAATAAGGAGACAAAAGACAACAGTTGAAACAAAGGAGTTATCTAATAATAAAATAATGATATACTTTCGATACCCTAATGAGCGGAAATTAGAATTTCTGATGTTTTGGGAGTTATTTTAAGTCGCTTTTTACGAACAAACAAACAAATGACAGACATTAAATTGGCAAAGTTTAAATAGTACGGAGGGACAAGGCGGAATATTTATTCCAGTCAAAATCAACATAAGTCTTGCCATGTCGTTTTGATTAAGGTGATTCTATATGGAACATTACTGAGTGTATGGTAGTGAATGTGCAAAAAGGAGTCGTCTTTATATCGTTCAGATTTATTAGATAAAATTTAAGACAATCACTCAAACTTTAATAGTTGTACAAATGTTTTGTTGATAAAGAGGTTCTATTTTATAAGGTGGATGACAACCGTTTTTTTGTAGAAAATATACATGAGCCATTTGGTAAAGTAGGGTGGTAAGTGATGGATAACATGGGATGCTTTACTTACCTCAGCTTGATGTTATGTGTAACAAATAAATTTTAAACATTCACATATTTCTCATTTATATCGTGACACATTAATCAGAGTAGGCATCACCACCCATGCTTATTCTTTCATACAAGTAAATATAAGTCTATCACAGTATTTTCCCTCACATATGTCATAAGACAAGTGTGAGATACTTGGAATTTAATATAAGTTAGTTAGAAATGTTACGCAAAATATATTGATATAAGTTAGTATTTTTAAATTTATTAAATAAGACGTTAGTTCAATTAGCCTTAATGCAAACTAACCAATCGAAGGAGTTTTATCCAAACATGGACTTTGCGCAACAAGTTGCTCAAATTCTAAAAGTGCTTCAGCAGTTTCTGGGTCTGTAATACACTGAGATTCAATTGTTGATGTCAAATCCCCTTCTTCCTAGCATTTTTAGGAGAGAAAATAAACGAACGAGTTTATAGATATATAACGAATGGAATTCATTAAGTCATCGAATAGGAATTAAAGACAATACTTTCTAACAATTTTATTGACTCAAAGTGTAAAATCGTATCTATGGTGAGCTTATTTACTAGAAATAGTAGTCTATGATAAAATAGAATGTTGTGTCATTAAGAAATATCGATAATAATCAAAAGCTGTAGGCACTGAATATAATAGTTTAAGTAAATAAGCGAGGTTATTGTACCACAAACTACTTATGAAAATCAAATATTGAATGGAAGTTATGTAAAAATCCAGCGGCAAATAAAAATGTCAAGATGAAGATTGTTTGTAGAGGAGTGATAATTGTCCACTTAGTGAGTGTAAAGAACGAATTTATTAAACGTTGTAATAGTAAATAATTAATATCTGTGACACAAACTAGAAAGGAGTAAAACAGGTTTTTAAGAATGGAAAATAGAAATAAACATTAAAGCCGTTGTAGAATGAAAGACTATACTTGTTGTTTTGATACACACAGTTTATGCTTGAATTAGTGAGTTGCTAGAGATTCTTTTATGCAAAAGGTTTTGCTTTGTATACCATTGGAACAAATTCTTATGACATGATGGTTTTGAAAGATGCTGGTGAAGCAATGCAACCAGAACCTAAAAGATGTTCCAAGACTAAACTGTTTGTTGACTTATGTAATCCTTAGGACAGTCAGGTAGGGTACTGTTTCGAGATGCGCTAATAGAGATTTAACGTTTTGTGGTCAATAGAACCCTCTTTATAAGGGCAAGTTAACTGGTAAATGGTAAATACTTGTGGAGTGGGTTGTATTGGCCGCAAAAAATGAACTCTCCCTAAAAGCAACCCCGAACAGTCTCTTGCCCCATCACCCTAAGGATTACAGAAGCCAGTAAGCAGTTCAATTTCGGAACATCTATTTAGTTTGAATTACAATGCTTCACCAGAACATTCATTCGAAATTTTAAAGATATACAATTAAAAACTTATGCACAGTAGAAACTCAAGTAATCCACTATTCTTAATAATTTATCGTTTTCTACATCTTTCTGATTTTCTTTCACAAATATAAATTAGTTATTGCTACAACATTTAGTCATTCTGTTCTTCACACTTTTTTTCGAAATTTATATGACTCAATAACCACACACAAATATTAGTAACAGAACACAAGCTACTGATTAAGTGGAAGTTAGCAACGTACACTCAAACGATTTAGCCAGAATAGATGGAACAGATTTGAAAATCATGATCGAAGGGTATCGCATGATTGCATCTACAGAACCACTGTAAGGATCGAGTGGATATTGACTTAGTGTTTAAGAGACCCATATTTCAACCATGAAGTTCCAAGTACAAAGGAAGAAACAACTATTTCAGTTTCAGGACCTGGATAGTATCAGAAGATATTATTAGAGCGCGGTTTAAAGTTGAATATATGAGTCTGTACCTGGTTATTGAATTACACACATGAATGAATACATGGAAAAAACATCTCACCAACGAAAAATTATAGGTACATACCGTAAGTGATAAGTAGTCGAAACTGGAACTATTAGACAAACTGAAGTCAAACGGACCATCTTGTGACTGTTTATTTTGTTCTAAACCACAATGTTCTATGGGAAGTTCCAGTGAATTTTGTAAACCCTTTAACTCAGAATCATCTATATGAGCAACGAAATAATACTGTGAAAAGTCCCAATGAAATAAAGAAAAAACTGCGAAACATACTAGTTAAAAAACTTGTCAGTATCGCTTTCGACTGGTGGCTATTCTAGTTACTTACTTACTTACGCCTGTTACTCCTCGTGAAGGAGCATAGGCCGCTCACCAGCATTCTCCATCCAACCCTGTCCTGGGCAATCCTTTCTAGCTCCGTCCAGTTGTAATTCATCGTTTTCATATCTGCTTCTATTATCCGACGCAATGTGTTCTTTGGCCTTCCTCTTTTTCGCTTCCCTTCAGGATTCCAAGTTAGGGCTTGCCTCGTGATGCAGTTTGACGATTTGCTTAATGTATGTCCTATCCATTTCCATCGTCTTCTTCTAATTTCTTCTTCAGCTGGAAGTGGGTTTGTTCTCTCCCACAGAAGGCTGTTGCTGATGGTATCCGGCCAATGGATGTTGAGTATCTTGCGAAGACAGCTATTTATAAATACTTGTATTTTCTTGATTGTGGTTGTTGTAGTTCTCCAAGTTTCAGCTCCATACAGTAGAACTGCCTTGACGTTCGTATTGAAGATTCTCACTTTGATATTGGTTGAAAGTTGTTTTGAGTTCCATACGTTCTTCAATTGTAGGAATGCGACCCTTGCTTTGCCGATCCTCGCCTTTACGTCTGCATCGGATCCTCCTTGTTCATCGATGATGCTTCCCAGGTATGTGAAGGACTCTACATCTTCCAGAGTTTCGCCATCAAGTGTGATTGGATTGCTGTTCTCCGCTTTGAATTTGAGGACCTTAGTTTTCCCTTTGTGTATGCTGAGGCCTACTGATGCAGAGACTGCTGCTACACTGGCTGTCTTCATCTGCATCTGTTCGTGTGTACGTGATAGGAGGGCTAGGTCATCTGCGAAGTCCAAATCGTCTAATTGATTCTGAGCTGCCCATTGTATTCCGTGTTTTCCTTCAGATGTTGAGGTCTTCATAATCCAGTCGACCACCAGAAGAAAGAGGAATGGAGAGAGTAAACAGCCTTGTCTGACTCCGGCCCTTACTTGGAATGCATCTGTCAGCTGTCCTCCATGCACTACTTTGCACTGTAGTCCGTCGTATGAGTTCCGGATAATATTGACAATCTTCTCAGGAACTCCGTAGTGTCGAAGAAGTTTCCATAACGTCCTCCTATCTACACTGTCGAATGCCTTTTCATAATCAATGAAGTTGATGTATAATGATGAGTTCCACTCAACTGATTGTTCGACGATGATCCGTAGTGTTGCAATTTGGTCTGTGCACGACCGATCCTTACGGAATCCAGCTTGTTGATCTCGAAGTTGGGCGTCTACTGCATCCTTCATCCGGTTCAGCAACACTCTGTTGAAGACTTTCCCTGGTATTGACAGTAGTGTTATGCCTCTGTAGTTTTCACATTTGCTCAGATCTCCTTTCTTTGGAATCTTGACGAGGTGTCCTTCTTTCCAGTCCATCGGCACTTGTTCCTCCTCCCAAATCTTTTTGAATAGAAGATAAAGCATGCTTGTGGTTGTTTCGATGTCTGATTTCAGTGCTTCAGCTGGTATATTGTCGGGTCCTGCTGCTTTCCCGTTCTTGATTTGTCTGACGGCCATTCTAATTTCTTCCGTAGTTGGTGGATTGACATCTATAGGAAGATCTATGTGTGCTGCTTCGATGTCCACTGGATTCATTGAAGCCGGCCTATTCAGGAGTTCCTCGAAGTATTCTACCCATCTGTTACGCTGTTGTTGAATTTCGGTGATTGGCTTGCCTTCTTTGTCTTTGACCGGCCTCTCTGGTTTACTGTAATTCCCTGCTAGTTTCTTCGTTGTATCGTGAAGTTGTTTCATATTTCCTTCTCTAGCAGCTTTTTCTGCCGTCGTTGCTAGTTCTTCCACGTATTTCTTCTTGTCGGCTCTAATGCTCCTCTTCACTTGTTTGTTTGCTTCTATGTATTCAGCTTGTGCTTGGACTTTCTCTGCTCGTGTTCCGCTGTTGTTTATTGCTGCCTTCTTGTTCTTCCTTTCTTTGATCTTGTCCAGTGTTTCTGTAGAGATACATTCCTTATGATGGTATTTCTTTAGACCGAGAACCTCTTGACACGTTGAAGTTAATGCTTCTTTGATGCTTTTCCAGTTGTCCTCCATAGTAGTTTCTTCTTCTTTCAGTAGATCTTGTAAGGCTTGGAACCTGTTGTTGAGAGCTATCTTGAATTCATTGAGTTTGACAGTATCTCGAAGGAAGGCTGTATTGAACCTTTGTATTGCTGTTTGTCCACTTGTCCAGTTCTTTTTTAGCTTCAGTTTTAAATGGGCCACAACTAGGTGGTGATCTGAAGCTACGTCAGCACCTCTCCTGGTTCTCACATCTTCCATTGTCCTTCGGAATTTTTTGTTAATGCAAATATGATCTATCTGGTTCTCTGTAGTGTGGTCCGGTGAGATCCATGTAGCCTTGTGTATACGCTTGTGTGGAAATATTGTGCCCCCTATGACCAATCTGTTGAATGCACACGGATTTGCAAATCTTTCCCCATTTTCGTTTCTCTCTCCCAGTCAATCCATGTCGTCCCATGATATCTTCATATCCGGTGTTGTCTATTTCGACTTTGGCGTTTAGATCTCCCACCAGAATGGTAAGGTTCTTTCTTGGGCATTTCTCTATGATTGACTGCAGCCTTTCATAGAATTGATCTTTAATGTCGTCGTTGCTATCATTGGTGGGTGCATAACACTGGATAATATTTATTGTGATCCCCTCCCTCTTTGTTTTAAATGATGCTTTGATGATTCTGGATCCGTGAGATTCCCATCCTACAAGTGAATTTCGTGCTACTTTGGACAGATTAGAGCAACCCCTGTGTGTGTGGAGCATTTTCGTCTTCGTGACCGGTGTATAGCAGCATCTCTCCCGTATCTAGCCTTTGTTGTCCAGCTTGGCTCCAGTGGGTTTTGCTGATTCCCAGTAATGCTAAGTTGTATCTCTTCATTTCCATTGTTCGAACGTTCCATGTACCTACAAAAAATTTTGCTCTGGTTGTTAGAAGGGGCATCGGCCTCGTGGCTTCCGAAGGAACTCGGCTTTCACCATGAAGCGTCATAATTCTTCTAAATGAAGACCTTCTAACTCCCAGGGCAGAGCTAAAATGGTTTGAATTATTTTTTCTGGTAAGCGTTTTTTTAGCGAGTTAGTTTTCTACGGGATGGGGACGCTAACCCCATGCCCAACCCTCCTCCTTTACCCGGGCTTGAGACCGGCAGCAACCCTATAAGAGCTACAGGCGGAGGCTATTCTAGTTAGATGGGTTTAACTAAGGTAAGGAGAACATATACATGACAAAACCTGGGTGAGATTCCTTGCGTATGTTGTACATCATATGCACTTTATATCTAGTTAATATATGAAAAGAAACACTACAATTGAATCTTAACTATCATAGAAAATGAAGTTAAAAAAGGATTGACTGAACCAGATAAGTAATACCATATAGGATTACCATACAGCCCAATCTGATCTATCTCTGATACATGAATATGAAAATAATTGCTAATGCACATTTTTGATTATTCGAATGTAGACTCGTTCGTAAAACACTAGCCAAAAAATTATTGGAAAATTCAAACTGCCAGAAAAGTAGCTTTGCTTTGGTTTTATATATAATTAAATGATATCATATGACCTCCAGTTACACATTTTTCACATCTTGTTGAGACACGTCGTAACTATGGAAGTTTCAATGACTATAACTATAACACGTATATGTGGTTTATGTACTTGCTACTGTTTCTGTATGTCAGGGATAGCGAGGGACACAAAGGCAGGATGAAAAAGTACAAAGGTGTGTGCCGTCTTGTTGTTAATATTCGGGACTGCAGTCGATTTGTTTCAGTTAACGATATGCACACCTCAATCGAATGGCTTTATGCTGCCCTTCCAATACAAGTTTTCAAGAAATTTGGATTGTGAATAGCTCTGAAATCCAAGATGCACATTTCGTCTCGTTTGAAACTAACCAACTCCAGGCATCAAATTGGTTGATAACAACAGACAGACCGATTAACTACCGTTTTGAACTTCAACGCGTCACCCACTAAGTTAGAGTCCAGATGAACACTTACTAGTCTAGTTATTCGCTAACCACAATTTGAACGTTTAGCAGCGAAGTTACACCAATTATTTTTTTCAAAAAAATGAAAAATCTAGCAGGAATTCTGTCCGTAACTATACAATCTAGTACAACGTACGGCCTGACTGTCCACAGCTCATAGAAATTTGACTTGTGAATATTTTCCAGTTTTTATGCATATGTATTATATGCGCAAAACAACTACGTACCATATTTAAGAGACCCTTGGAGAACATTAGTTTCTGAACTGAGACCATCACCGACTAGCAAACTGACTCCAGAAGCATCACATAGTGCTGGGTTACCAAAAGTGTGTGAAGCGTTAGATGAAGATGAGTCAATTAAGTACCTATGTATGTGAGCAAAAATGGAAAATTACTTGCTCAGCTGGATATTTTCATTTTGCCATTCATTATCAACATTTGTTTTTAAATGGTCTGTACCAGAATCAGACGTAGAAAAATGCACACTTATCATATTTTCTTCGCTTTCTTTGGATTGCCCATCTTGAGTTTTGTTACTTCTTTCTCTTATTAATGCATATTCCAACATTTTGATTCGACGGATCAAATCATTCCGAAGACATTCAAGGCCCCTGAATTTACCCTGAAGGAATGCTATCCTTGCCTGAGGGAACTAATAGCTAAAGACAAAAAATTTACATGCAATTCTGCTCTCTCAACATCCCATTGTGTTCGTTCTAATTGCATTCTTGACCATTCCAATTGCAGGAAATCTAGAATTCCAGACATAGTATAAAACCCCGTTTTAGTTTGGATCGATGGGAGTGTCTCAGTAGTTCCTTCCGCATGTTTTTGAAAGTTTACAGAAGTAATAGGACCACTGAAACATTCAGTATCCATCAGTAGCTCTACATCAGAAATTTATGCCTTTTCAGTATTCAATATCTTTCGGATGAGTTAGCATAAGCCAATTTCCTTCTATGAACTGGAATCTTGACATCAAGGTAGGATTTCATGTCTTCAGTTGTTTCGGATACAGTGCATCTACCAACCCTGTTTTCCTAACGAAAAGTAACTATGGATTTGAACTTTTTATTTTTATTCCTCCTTCATTGAATAGTAGAGTAATTAGATCAGTAGCTATTTTATTTCATGAAAAGGAAACTTGCTAGAGTTAGCAAATTCAATTATGGTGTGAGAGTTAAAGGATTTTCTTATGGAAAGACTATGACGCATAATGGGGAAAGACGAGTCCAGGGAAGCCATGAACCCAACGCCTTCATTTTCGATCAGGTCGAACCCGGATAATGCAGTATGAACGGAAAAAGTGGAGAGGAAAGTTAGGTAAAATGTTTGGAGACAAATAAATAGTAGGATGGAATTCAGATGATAATGGAGATAGGTACTCGGAAGCATGTTAATAGGAAAAATTTTGAGTGGGGTTTCATCTCGTCTTGTAATACCGTTTATCGTTCCAGTTGGCGGAGGTGAGTCTGTGGACTTATTTTGACAGACATTCAACAGTCCACTGATGAGACAGTGGTTGCGACGATTTGTAGGCCATATTATATAGAACAGGCACATATAAAGATGCTACAGATACTCAGGCTTTAACAACTCTTGTGATCGAGAGACCCCAAACCCGGCCAAACCAGAGGGCGGAAATGAAGGACTGGGAGGATATACTTAGAAGTTATTCGATATTTTGAGGAGCATTTGATCTAAGCTGGCTGGTTGTTACAACGGATGCACAGAACAGCGTACCCTATGGTGATCTTGTGAGGATGCGTGACCGAGCCCCTCAGTCATGGTATGTCCAGTGAAACTAATGGGGTCATTACGAGTGCCAATAACTTACAGAATTATTTGTTCTGTAGATATGTTAACCAAAACAATAGAGCACTTCCATATGAATAAGCGTAATGATCATCCAGTAGTATGATCTTGCAGAGATGTTTGTGACTATTAAAATTTTTCTGATCGTAAACATATTACCCATCTCTCTTCGATAAGTTAAGTGGAAAAACACCATTTCTCAGACAGGATCCTTGCATGTTTTATGTCTTAAATTTTTAACCTGTTTTGGTTTATGTTTGTTGACTGTCCCTAAAGATTTATAGTATATTTTGTGATAGATGTAACAACATTTTACTTTCAAAATGAGTCCATGAGTGTTTTTATTATGGCTGGTAGTGAATCGGAGTTGATCATTCCATTTTCGTGAAGGAAGCGAAGTACAGTATAGAGTTTATTTACACTTCCAGTGTGATTGTCATTAGTTTATAACGTCTGATAAAAAGTAGGACTTATTCATTTTTGTCGAGGATGAAGGAGGTAGTGGGCTTGAATTGTGCAAGTTGTACGTTATGACATGTCCGCGGCAATGGTCATGTAAATGTGTTAACTTTCACCAGAGTTCCCTAGCGATATTGGTTTATTTTGGTGCTGCAAAAGGTTTATCAAGATCAGTTATTTATATTCTCGATGGATAAAGAGTCTGGTTGTAGAATTCTTTACACAGTATGAAGAGCAGGTGAATCACAGTCTTGTATCACCATAATACACAAACATTTCACTATTCAGTAGGAGAAAGTAAAAAATTTAGTGCCGATACAAAGTAAGTAAATAACTAGCTCCAAGCTATAACATTCATATCTTAATATTCGATTATTGGTTGACTCATCTGTATGTTTCTGCCAGCTACTAGTCTGTAAGGACAGTGCAATACCACTAAGCCCTAGCAAATGATCCGGCAGTCGAATCACAGAAGTTTGAACGGTTTATCAACCGGTGTCAGGATTGAGGACTACCAGCGCACATAAATTTGTTGCACACCACAGAGTAACTCATGCGCTGGTGGTGATCTGCTTCCTTTACTTGCTCTTAACAATGTATTCCCGTGAATAGCACAGTTTGTGTTGTACTGTCATCACGGCAACCATAGTACTTGGATACAACGAAATGGCAATCCATGTTAAGCAATAACCGTGAGGTGTAACTGCGACGTTAGTTGGCTGGTCATGTCATCTCCGCCTAACTTGAGTAGACCCTAAATCATTAGACACTGATCACCTACGTCGGTGACCAACAGGTCACCCTTGTATTTGATAGACCTCAACTGTTTAACATCGTAAGCTTAAAGGAGGACCAATGAACTGGGATTTTTTTAAAGACAATTAATGAGAATATAGAAAAGATGAGGATCAAATAAGGTTCCTTGTAAGGCTCTAAGTGTCAAAACACTCCATTTTGGGCAAACTCGTCGCACACTGTGAGGGTCATTTATCCTCCCAATTATTTTTATTGCAAGGAAATGAGTGATGAAGAAAAATCCACGAATACTGTCACTCTTATGGTATCAGAAACATTGTAAAAATCGCTCTCTTGGCCACATTGTTCAGGCTAACATTGGGTTGAAGGAACACAATCCACTTTTCCGAAACCTTACTGAGCGTCGTGGGAGGTTTGTTCTCGCTCATGACCAGAAGAAAGGTTACATATAAACAAGAAAAAAGGCATAGTTATAGGGAGAAAGATTCACGGAGGGCCCTTCCCATGATTTTTACATGTTCATGCAAACAGACTCTATGTGTGGACAGCGGAATAACACTGAATGTTAGCTACAATATTCGTCAAGCTGTATGTAAACTTTGTAGTGACCGAAACCATTTGATTTGGTCTGAACTCAGAAAGTGATTTTAAGTAACCAAAACATATTTTATTGAACACAACCATTGCATTCTTCTGTACAGGGTGCGAAGTTTTCTTGAGTAATTCACTGTCAACGACCCAAATTTAACAATATCAAAATACAATTCGAGGTCCAGTTATTTATGACGCTTTCCAGTAGTAACAAATCACATCGAGAAATGTAAAATACCTCGACAATGCTGTTCGACTATTATACAGTCACTCATTTCACGACCATGAAATAACACACCCAACATCGAGGACTGGTTACTAAATAAGCCTGTTAAGTAGTTGAGGTCCAACAGGGGCGTTCACAGCAGTATAGGATTAAAGTCCGATCTGGAAGAGTTAAGATAAGTAATGAATATGGTAGCAAGCAATCACTTCACTCACCAACCCTGAGTTCGGTAAGACAAAATCTTATTGTCAACAGGCAGGTAAACTTCTCATTTTTGTAATTTAATTATTGAAGTTCAAGTGTCTCGTCACACCACAAGCGCCCACTTTTACCCTCAGTTTGTGCCCTCCTCTGGGAAGAACTTAAAGATAACTGGTGAGTTTTCCTCATGACTATGCTATTTTGTGACATCCCTCAAGAACATTTTTGCATTGTATGTATATGAACGGGTTGTATGCTTGTTCGTTTGCTGTTCCGGGCTGTTAGTGGAATTATGTATTCCCCCGGTTAAATCTAGTCTTCTTTCTCTAGTTAATAGGGTTGGGATGTCAAAAGTCCTAGATAAATATCTGCGTATGCTAGAAAATGGAGCAAAATATTCAAGCAAGTATCAGCACTGTCAAACAGAAAACTTCGGAGTTCCTTCCAAGCATTCACCCTGTCACAAACCCCACCTAATGTGCCACGAATAAACGGTAAGGAATATGTAACTCTAGCACAGACATTCGTGGTACTTCATTGGAATTAGTGAACCGAGTCAGTGGTCTGTAATTTTTTAAGATTCAATTCTTAGGTTATCCATCTTGTAGTTAATAATACCTACGCGTTTTCGTTTTTAATGAAGAGTCTCGAACTGTCTATTCTTTCAGGAACATTTGAGATACTAATTTGTAACCGAAAGACATGCCTATCAAAAGTGTACAGCTGTTCCACGTGACCAGCAAATTATTATTTCGAAATATATTTAGAAAAAAATCCATGTTAGGAGTTAGACAGGATATGATTTGATAAAAAATGTGAGGGATCCAGCCTAAAATCTTTTGAATATCTTCGAGACTGCTGTGAGCAACAAAGATGACCTGTTATTAGGTGCTCCAACGTTGTAGCAACCCCTTATTTCGGGCTATAAGCACACCTCTTTATTCAGAGGAGATGTAATTGACTGTGAGTATTCAAAAATGCCAGCAGTAACAGGGAAGATGGGACGTCTGTAAATAAGTCCATGACTCTGAGATGAATTCTTTATAGCTCTCGCAACGCATTCAGACTTAAACATCCCGAAATATCTTTGACTTTGAAGACCACCTGTATAACACAGAGTTCGACTGCTTTGGTTTCCAAAAATCTTACGTAAGTCAAACGAAAGAAATTACATTCGGATTTAGGCAAATTACGAGAAGCCTGAGACTCGCCAACTGATTATCTGATTAAAGACTTTTTGATTTCAAGCTGAAACGTACTATAACAACCATACCTGACAGAGCTTGTTTAATAATGATATTACTGACAACCCTAAAAATTGGACATACTCAATCCCGTTTGTTGTGTAGTCATAATTACTTAGTGACTGATGTGACCATTACACTGAAGAGCGCAGTGTGACACGCTGGAATGTAACAGAAAGTTTCGTCATGTGGTTAAAAATGAAGGCTTTTAATTACTTGGTGACCGAAATATAATCTTGTTGAGCATTATTCAATTATATTTGGAAGTTCTTGACTAGTGTAATTTCTACAGACACAATTGTTCTCGGTCGTGTTGCTATTCCGCACTGGGTAACCTCAGTCTTCACAAAAATTTATCGTGAATGAACGCTCAGATGGAGAAGACTGATTCATTGTTTAATGCGCGGTCACAAAGTGGTTTAGTGAAATGTGTAAATCATACGTCAAGTACACCATTTGGATATCGTCTTCGAATAACCCCTTACAAGCTTGATTGCTTCTTCATTCCTGTTGTTATACCGATTGTTTTCAGTTTCCTTTCTCTCTTCTCTACATTTCAATTCTTTTAACCTCCTGCTCTCAGACATCCCACTTCCGTCCGGTGTTACATACTACTTACACTTGAAAACACAAGTAGCACACACTACAGTCAGTCCTCGATTAGTAGTTTTCTCAAAGCAAGTGGGGTCTGCACCGATATTGAATGTTTGCTAAACTTCTAATATTTGGGGAGCTGGTTAGCAAAGTAATTTTGAAGGACAGCAGATATCCGTGTGAAATCGGATAGGAGTTTCCTAAACGGTGACTTAACACCCCAAGGATACAACTTTTATAATGTC